AGGAGTTAGCATAGCGATAGGTTAGAGGCAGCCATAGCTGCCATAGCTGTAGTTAGTAGTGAGTGTGTGTGTGTGCTCGAGTGTTAGAGTGATGCGTGTGGGATATCCAGGGTGATCCAGTGTATGTCAACAGTGAGATGTTTGGGCGCTGAAGTCGCCATAGCCATTTGAGAGTGAACTCGTGTCGGAAAGCCATATCTCTGAGGTTTGAGTGGGCGCATGTCGCCAGTATGCTGCGTTGCTGTTTACATGCATGAAAAGTGTGTTTGAGAACGAGTCTGATTGCACATGTTGCTGCTGTGTAACGAGACAACACATCAAAAAAAGGGTTGTGGGGCAACTACACCCGCATAGAAAATCAAGTTCCGATGTGCAGATGAAACTCGTCTTTGCAGTTTTGTCACACCCTGAGTTTCAAGTACACTTTGAGCTCAGGCCGCCATGTCACACATACCATGGCTCGTATGAGCTGTTCAGCCACAAAAGGGCCATCCACTTCTACCGGTACCATTCCAGGCACCAGCAGTCCAGTTTACGTCGGTGCAACCCCTGCACACTCGCACTCATGCCGGGGGGGGCGGACGTTGGGGGGGGGTTAGAGAAAATGGGCCATTTTCAAATGAATCTTGCCATTACATTAAGGGGCTCGTTCGACACTCCTGGGGCGCGTAAAGTCCCCGAGGAATTGTTTGTTCCACCTATCGTCGGGGATGCAGTCGGCAAAAAAAAAGTGAAAAACTCCGAAGGAAATTCCTTGGGCTCCGAGGATTCGCCAGCCATTTCTTCCTTTTGCCCAACGGACCTCACGAGGTCCCTTGGGCAGAAGGAATCCGGGTTTCACGGAGAGGAGCGGGCACATGGGTAGAGAGACGTTACAACAGAGAATCTGGATCGTGGCGGCACCCTACTGGCTGAAGGCCTCAAACACGTTTGATTTTTTTTTTCTTTTTTCTTTTCTTGTCTGACATGTTCGAAGGAAATGTCCTTGGGCGACGTCCCCGAGGACAGGTGGAACGATGGCGGGAATTTCCTTGAAACCCCCCAAGGAAACTTCCTTCGGCCCCGAGGACGCCCCAAGGAGTGTCGAACGAGCCCGTAAGTGCAGAAATGTGGCCAGGTTTATTGAAAAAGGCCTAGTTCTCTCTCTCTCTCAGGCGCAACATGTGAACACATGCTCGGCAGGAGGGAGAGAGAGAGAGAGAGAGAGAGAGAGAGAGAGAGAGAGAGAGAGAGAGAGAGAGAGAGGCTATTTTTGAATGAATCTGCCATGATGCTGCTCTATATTCAGTGCGGAAATATTGCCACAGTATTTGGATAGTTGTCCCTGTTCTCTCCCTCTTTCTCAACTCCCCAATGCTCACACATTCACATGTGCACCAGAGAGAGAGAGAGAGAGAGAGAGAGAGAGAGAGAGAGAGAGAGAGAGAGAGAGAGAGAAGGGGGGGGAGGGAGAGAGCAGTGGTGTCACACCCTGAA